ATGTATGGGGGAGGAAGAAACGGTGGCCCACATGCTACTGAAATGTCCGGAGGTCGCTACATACAGGGCTAAACATCTCGGCATGCCGGGATCACTCCCCGAAGTTGCATGCAACATCAAGGGACTGTTGAGCTTCTTCGGGGAGATCTCATGGCTCGAATAATCACATTATTCCTGCCCACACGCAAAATACGCGCATAGACGTGGAGTTGCGGAAAACAGCCCGTCGCAAACTAAACCAAACTAACTAATCAGTCTTAAGGCAAAAAGAACTTCATTCTCTTTTTTTTAAATAGCAAACCGCCTTGCGCCTTTGCACTAAATATTGTGTTAAACCTTGCGAGTATATCTTGAGAAGTACTATAACAATTGAGGAACAGGTAACTTAACAATTTAACAAATACCATGCTTAACTGTTAGTTTGAATAATTCATCTATTTTGGCCTGCTGTGTTGCAAGTGTTTCATATGTTTTATAATATAAAATTGTTTTTGAGTAATATTTTTTTGATTAAAACTATTTTTATAGATTTTATCACGTTTAATTTTAAATTATTTTTCATTCCCGACATTTCGGGTGCTTCCCAGTACCCATGGTCACAGGGGACTGAGATGACTGACGTCCCAATATCAATGTTTATTAACCCAGAGTACCTTCAGTGTTTTATATTATTATTTATGGTTTATATATTTATATATTATTTTTTTTTTATATATTTATATATTATTTTTATTTCATATCTATATATTAAAAAGCTCAAGATACTGCAGGTTAACATTCACATAGCAACATCAGTCACCTCAGTCTCCCGCGACCATGGGTGCGGTAAAGCAACCAAAATATCGGGTTTTAAAAATAATTTAAAATTAAACGAGATAAAATCCATAAAAATAGTTTTAATCAAAAAACTATCACTCAAAAACAATTTTAAAAGTTAAAAAGTATTTTTACGTGGTAGAGCCATGCTGCAGTTATATTAGTAGTATAGTTGTAGCACGAATGGGTCGGCTCGACCGGGGAAGGACCACGCTCTCACAGAATACCAGCGTGAAATAGTAGCTTAATGCTGCTGTATTTCGTATGGTGAGTGTAGAGAACCGGAGACCCTTTTTACTGGAAACGAGGCATTCCATCTCAGTCCTCACGGGTGACAACGCATCTGCATTTTGATTTTTAATGGAGGATAGATGTAGATGTCTATGGGCCGCAGCAACCACTTACCATCAGGTGGACTGTGTGCTCGTTTGTCACACTATTCTATAAAAAAAAAAATTTTAATCAATGTTTAGTGTTCACGTAAATATAAGAAATCATAATATTCTTTTATTTAATCGAGTTTGAGTGATTTCTAACAACTTTCTAACACGTCTGGTGTTAGGTAGATAAAGAGTTAAGGTAACATAAATGTAGATACAGACTCCCAAATCATTTTGATGCAACAGCCTCACATCTTTCTTGTTAAAAGTTATGGTAAGATTATGTCAAAGAGAACTAAAAGAAAGTGTTAACTAAAAAGCCATTACATTTTTATGAACATACCTATAGCTCAGATAAGCCAATGGCATCGGCTCTTAAAGTTGTTAAGTTGTTAACCAAATCGAAAATACCTTAAAAGCAATTTGTTTCGGAATCTGCTTCATCAGCATCAAAAGCTCCAACTCCATGTTCAGACTCTTGCTAAACATGGAGTTGAACCAGTTCTAATAGGCCGGGTTGTCAATATGCTTAGCAAAAAGGCAGATAAGAGCAAAAACCCTTAAACACTCAAATATATAAAGCTCCCCACAAGGTGAAGTGCTCTTGCGACTTCTGTAGAATATGATCATTAATGATCTAATTACCAAACTTTATCATAACCTAATAAGAGAGAGAGATAAGATAACTTTTTATTACACAGTATGATGATGATGTATCTATAATTGTTAAAAGTAAGTCACGATTAATCATAATAAAAACAAACTAGTCATGTTCACTTAGAATATATATTCAATAAGAAGTGTGCCTGTGTGTGTGTACATGACTGAATGGGTCAAAGGTTGTGTAGGCTGCCAAAAATCAAAAATACAAAGACATACGATGTCACCCCATGGACATTTTGTAAATAGCGACGATTTGATCATCTACATATGGATATAGTTGGACCACTTACATATTGTCAAGGCCATCGATATGTTGTGACAATGGCAGATAGGAAAACTGGATGGCCGGAAGCCTACCCAGTCAAGGATATCACAGCCGAGACAGTAGCGGATATCATGTACTCTGGGTGGATATCACGATTCGTATGTCCTTTAAATTTAACTACAGATCAAGGCTCTACTTTCTTATCGCAATTGTTTAGGCACTTAGCCAAGAGGATGGGTATCAGAAAATTTAGAACAACGGCTTATCACCCCCAGTCGAATGGCATCGTGGAGAGATGGCATCGATCCTTGAAGGCTGCGCTTATGTGCAGAGGCAACACTGACCAATGGGTTTCGGAGTTACCAACAGTCTTATTGGGATTAAGAGCATGTCTGAGAGACGATACGCAAACCAGCGCTGCAGAGATGGTATTAGGAGAAGTACTACGATTGCCTGGAGATTTTTTTCAGCCGCTAAGGCTAGAAACCTCCGACAATATTTTATTTGTGCAAGAGCTGCGTAGAAAAATATCGCATTTGGCTTCCGTTCCAAGAAAAGAGTTACATCAAGGAAAAATTTTCATACACCCTGACTTAAAAGACTGCACACATGTATTTGTACGGGTTGACAAGGTGTCCAAACCACTTACTCAACCATACATGGGTCCCTTCAAAGTAATTAACAAGACAGAGAAATATTTTAAAATTATGCAATCGGATATGCCGAAAGTTGTAAGCATCGATCGGCTAAAGCCAGCGTATACGATCATATCACAAGAATGCACAGATGCTCCTAATAAGGGAACTCCGAACGTAAGCAGTAATAGCAAGGTGTCGAGATTCGGACGAGTAATTAAACCTGTTGTTCGTTTCGCTGTGTAAATACATGTGTGTGACAGTCAATTAACTGCTAAGATGGGTACACCGCAGAGCAAAAAAGTTGAAGAGGTGATCATCGCGCAGAGCGGCGCCGGGAATAGCGCCGCCACGGCGCAGAGCGAGACTCACTTACCGGTGCATGTGCGGCAGGAGACATACCTCCTCATAATAATTACATGCATCCTGCTGGCCATACTGTACGTAGTGTGGCGCTACTGTAAGACGGGGTACGCCAGGTACCTGCGGCGGGAGCTGATGGAACTGCCGCGGCTGGAGCTGCGCGCGGGCGGCGCGGGTGAGCCGGGCTTCGACAGCCGCCCCCCACAGCACGTTATAGTGTAGTGATAAAGTGATAGTGTGGTAAAAGTAAAAAAGAATAGTGCGTCATACGGCATTATAGATAGTAATATTTTTCATGTAACTATTTTTTTCTACATTTGTTTTTTTATAAAGGGGATAAAATAAATACATTTAATTTTATAGCATATAGCTATTATTTTTTTATAAAGGGGGGTGTACTGTGCCTACATTATGTTTAATCAATATTTAATCAGTATCAATTTGTGTATCATAATAAACACACGTATATCGGGCTCCTGAAGTTTTATTGTTACTCTCCAATTAGTACGCAACCATACGTGTATGTGTACAGAAGTAATTCTTTTGAAAGCCAATTTTTACTGTTACCAATGGTTCGCGAAAAACTTTTGTCCTGGGAAGCAACAGCAAAAAAATCAGGACTTATTTTTTAAGGGAAAATTATACAATAAAAAAACCTAAGTTGTAGAACTCGCTTACAAAACTTATTTATGAAACAGCTTGGAAGCAATCACCAGGAACCAGGAGGAATAAAAATAGTTTTTCCTAAGCCCCGTAGGACGAAATAAATGTTTGGCAGCTGTACCTCAACCAACTGTCGCTAATATTACTTTTTTCTAACAAGATTACTTATGAAAAGCTAGTTTAGCCTAGAAAAAACTAGTTTGTCTTAAAATCAATAGTCAATAAACATTTCGTAAAGTATTAAATACTTTTTTTAATAAACACTCCTGGTCAAAAGCGACCAACAGTCGTGGTAATACTGTTATCAACATAATCAGCTGCATTTAACCAACAATTTTGGGCAAAATCGCTATTAACTAATATGTTTGCAAACAAAGCTGCTTTTGTCTAAACTTTTTAGACAAACATAATTTTGAATGTTTTATAGTCAAAATTAGTTTTAACTGTAACATATATATTTGTAACTACCTAATCCAATATAAGCTATATTTTAATTGCATAACAAGTCCAAAGGTTGAAGTGTTAATTAAAAACTCGACTGCATAAACAAGTTTACTAAAAACAGAAGTTTTAAATCCTATGTCACTTCCACAATTAAGACTAATCTAACGACACCTCATATGTTAAAACCCATCAAGCCGTTTAGGCTGCAAAGCGTGCCGAATAAATAGACATACAAACATACATACATACTTCCGAAAAATTTTACGCTTCTTCTGAGCAGTTCAGTAAAAATAACACATTCACCAACAATCAACATCAACAATCAGTTAAACGAGCAAGAATAATGAAGAAACATCATAATTTTTTCGAAAACTGATCTTTGAAATAGTAGTCATTTGAAGCAATTGTTTTGTTTGTTTACTCTACGAATAAATTTTATCTGATTGGAAAAACGGTCCTAACCCTAATAAAATTGTGACTACAGAATGCTATGCTTTCTTCATTGGGAGGTCCCTAGCAACTAAGTTTGCCAGTAGGGGCAAGGATCCGGCCTATCTCATTGCTGTCAGAATTTCTGTAGCGGAAAAAGGATTTTAAATCCTCTTTGACGAGAAATGCGGAACCAGGAAATAAGCAAATTAGCCGTGAAAATACTGATTCTTAAAAATATTATCATTATCTTTGATTAATATTTAGATATAATAAATGATATTCAAGAAAAGCATAAAATTGAAACGAAAGGGTTATTTTTTCGGTAAAAAAAATTCTTACCTGTGTCAACATCCATTGCAATTTTTTCTCAAAAAGCACTTAAAGTTGGTTATAATTCGATTCCTAACACAAACACTTTAATGCTACAATATACCAAGTCATGATAATTGAGTGGCGCATAGCAAAATAACTGTAAGTTCATCCAAAAATCCAAAAAAATCTTTGAATTCATCAGACATTCACATCAATCAAGCATTGCTCTCTTCTAGGCATGTCGATCTAAAATCGATTAATCGAAAAATCGATTATAAAATAATTTTTGAGATCGATTCGGAGCACTGCATCGATTCACGGAATCGATCCAAAAACCTCTCGAATCGGTCTGATTCATCTGATTCAAGAACTAGCGATAAAATTTCCAATCTGGCTGAGGTAAGATACCGCAGTTTTTTTTAATTTTTTGCTGTTGGGAGACGCAAAAACAACCGATCGTACTTGGTTGATAATTTGAACACAATATATATTTGAATAAAGTAAATAATTATTAACGCATCCAACAATATCAAAAAGTTGTCATTTCTATACTAAAATTCTAATTCTAATCTTACCTATGGAATGTTGGTCTAACTTAATCTGTGCAGTGAACAAAGACTTTATTATATATACTACAATATAACATTATAGCTGTGAACCTTGTGAACCAACTGTGAACTTGTGAATTTACTTTATTTATTATCAAAAACATACTGTGAGCTGTAATTACAGACAGAGTACTTTTTAAATACCTAGGTACTGTAAATAAATATTATATGTTGAAGTTTATATAGATTTATAGTAAGGAAATAACCAGTATTGTGTTAGTGTAGCATTAATTTAAATAGTGAGTTATTAGATTGAAACAGATTTATCCAGAAATGTACGTTGCAGTTTGCACTTTTGTTAAAGTATTGTTGTTCTTTTTAGCCTAAAATGTCAAATAAAAGTGATACATGGAATCACTTTGCAAAAAAAAAAGGATCGAGTGGCGTATGTGCGAACCACTCCTAACGCAAGTGTTTCAAGCTTACCAGGAGTGGGTAAAAGGAATATTAGTAATTTTAATTTATAAGATTACTAATATTTTAGCTACCACGGCTCAGATGGTTAGCACTCGCTGTAGTACGCTGTAGTACGCGAGTAAACCGTTCGATCCCCGCCGGCACCAATGATATTGTTACGCGCCGAAGTCGACGGCACTAGCGCCATCTAGTGTCGGGTAACAGAGCGAGGAGAGAGCTTTCCAGAAAATGACATGACAATTTTTTAACCGACAGCGCCATCTGTTGTCGAAACGAAGAACTAAGCTTCTAGAAGCCCGACACTCGAACTTTCGATGCTTAGTCGATTGGCGCGTGTATTTACTTGAATGTTCTGGATTTTTCGGTGCTAAGGTGTATTTATAGGCGCTGCAAGGTGCGATCGGGGAAGTATCGGGTCGAGACAAGCGAAGCTTCGGAGCGGAATAAAGTGAATCAGTGTGATTAATTATTAGTGTTTTTGACTTTAATTAGTGTAAAGTGAATTAAAGTGTTAATTTAGGTAATTCTATCGGGAATTTTTATTGTCACGAACCTTAATCTCGTAACAATTGGTGTCAGAAGTGGGATAAAATCATGCCGATTTTACCTAAGGAGGAAACGGAGGGTGTCCGTACCCGCAGTCAACGCCAGCATGAGACGGACCGGCGGAGATTTGGTGGTGCAACGGCGCAGACGTCGGAGGGCCAACTGCCAGCCACGGAGGCTGCGGGCCCGTCATTAGCTCCTACATCTGCAGCACCTGACTTAGGTGCTCTGATGGCGATGCTACAGGAGCAGCTGCAGCGCGGACGAGAGGAACAGGCCCGTCTGTTGAAAGAGCAGCAGGAGGAACAGGCTCGCCGACAGGAGGAACAGGCCCGCCGACAGGAGGAACAGGTCCGTCGTTTGGAAGAGCAGCTGCGGGGTGGACAGGAGGAACAGGCCCGTCGTTTAGAAGAGCAACTCCAACGCGATAAGGAAGAGCAGATGCTCCTCATGAAGGACCTTCACGCTACCTTCGGAAAAGAGATACGGGAGGTGAAGGATAAGGATGCTCAACATGACAAACGCCTGTCGGAAGCTGAAACCCGAATCGACCAAGTAAACAATCGGGTTGACAACGTAATAGCTGACGTGAAGAAAACGCTGGACGACCTCAAACTGGGTGATGGAACTACAGCTCCCGTAGTAGCTACTACACCTTCGCTACGTGGGTTCAAAGTGCCACCATTCGACGGGATTTTTTCCTGGTCAGCCTACAAAATCCAGTTCGAGGCTGTTATGAAGGCGAACGGCTGGAATAAAAGTCAGGCCATGACTGCTCTCACACTAGGCCTGCGCGACCAGGCCTTAACTGTTCTGGAAGCTCTCGGTGAGGAAGTGACTTATGAGCAACTCCTTGAGGCATTGGAGGCGAGATATGGCGACGCTCACCTGGAACACGTTTTTCGTGCGCAGCTTAAAGATCGCGTGCAGCGCATCAATGAAAGCCTGCAGCAGTGGGCTCTAGAGGTGGAGAAGCTGGTGCGAAAAGCATACCGGTCTGTACCTGCGCTCATTGAAGGAAACCTGGTGCAGACATTCATCGACGGCATCCGCGACCTGGAAGTCAGAGCTGCTGTGAGGCTCGGGCACTACGAGACGCTTAAGGACGCCTTGGTCCATGCACTGGAGGTGGAAGCCGTGCGGCAGGATCATCGTTCCCGTCGCGTCAGGGAGGTTGCAGCAGCTACAGTTCGCGACCGCAACAAAGGATTCAGCCCTAGGTGCTATGGCTGTGGGGAAAAGGGCCATCTACGATCCAGCTGCCCTAAGCGAACTGAAGAAAGGGAAGTTGATGGATTTGAGAGGGTAGTGCAGCTAACGGCACCGCCTGGCGGTGGCAGCAACATCATTCCCCTCACGCTAGGGAGTTTACAGCATTTCGCGACCACAATAAAGGATACAGCCCTAGGTGCTATTGCTGTGGGGAAAGGGGCCATCTTCGATCCAGCTGCCCTAAGCGAGCCCTAGAAAGGGAAGGTGAACGATCTCAAAAGGGAAGTGCGGCTAACATCACCGCCCAGCAGCAGCCGGGATACGACTTTACTATCAGACATAGCAGCGGGAAATCTCATTTCAACGCAGATACATTGTCAAGAAGACCTTGTCCTGAAGATTGGAAACATTGTACTAGGCAAAAGAGTAAGGAAGTGGTATGCGTGAGGATGCTCAGGACAGGCCACCTCAGCAACGAGTGGAAGGACAGCCAACGACATGCACAGCGGGAAGATCCGGACATCAGGCCGATTCTGGAATGGATGAAGGCCCGTGCTACCAAGCCTAAGTGGAGCGACGTCTCAGCGATGAGCTCGACCACTAGAGCCTATTGGGCCCAGTGGGACGGCTTGCTGATTCAGGATGGAGTCCTGTGCCGTAAATGGGACAGTGGTCGAGGAGACAGCTGTCGTTTGCAAATGGTTGTCCCTAAGGCTAAAGTGCCGAATGTTCTACAGCTGTGCCATAATGGTCGCTCAAGAGTCCATCTGGGAGTTAAACGAACTCTGCTGAAGGTCCGAGAACAGTTTCACTGGGTCCATTATCGTGACGATGTCGAGGCTTGGTGTCGTACATGTACAAGTTGTGCGGCCGTGCGGGGACCTCAGACACGTAGTAGAGGAGCACCGAAATTGTACAATGTTGGTGCACCATGGGATAGGACAGCCCTTGACATTGCGGAGCCGATACAGAAAGGCGCAAGAGGGACTCCTAAGATCGTCCATGTGGATCGCCTGGCGCGATGTTATGGGGCCGATAATGCTCGGGACGAGCATGTCTTAGGAGGGGGCAGTGTTACGCGCCGAAGTCGACGGCACTAGTGCCATCTAGTGTCTGGTAACAGAGCGAGGAGAGAGCTTTCCAGAAAATGACATGACAATTTTTTTTAACCGACAGCGCCATCTGTTGTAGAAACAAAGAACTGTGCTTCTAGAAGCCCGAGACTCGAACTTTCGATGCTTAGTCGATTGGCGCGTGTATTTACTTGAATGTTCTGAATTTTTCGGTGCTAAGGTGTATTTATAGGCGCTGCAAGGTGCGATCGGGGAAGTATTGAAGTTGGCGAGACAAGCGAAGCTTCGGAGCGGAATAAAGTGAATCAGTGTGATTAATTATTAGTGTTTTTGACTTTAATTAGTGTAAAGTGAATTAAAGTGTTAATTTAGGTAATTCTATCGGCAATTTTTATTGTCACGAACCTCAAGCTCGTAACAATATTGTTAATTGCAATTTTAAGTGCTGATTTACTACGTGCTATGCGGTGACGGAAAACATCGTGAGAAAACCTGCATGTCAGAGAAATAAGGAAAAAATATTTCGAAGACATGTGAAGTTCACCAACACGCACTGGGGCAGCGCGGCGGACAATTCCTTGCCCTAAAACCCTCTCAGAAATGAGTGGAGGCGTGTGTCCAGCAGTGGGACGTATATAGGCTGTAACTTTACTTTACTAATATTTTATTTAAAAAAAAATTAAAGTTTAATTAAAGAAAAAAATCCCCAACAAAAATGTCGCGATTAATCGAAAATCGATCTTTTAATCTTAGATTTAATCGAGAATCGATTCTAGTATCAACGATTCAAATCGATTCAGAGATCGATTTTTTAAGAGTGAATCGACATGCCTACTCTCTTCACTTTTTTTAGATAAATTACCTACTCTATGATTGTTCTCCAACTCATAGACAAAGAGAATATAATCACTAAGAAGTAGGGCGCTAGTGTGCCACAATAAACATAGGTTCTGCGTATTTTGTTGTATTTACTCTTTGGCTCTCGTGAGAGAATAATATTTACTCAAAACTACTTATTTGTTCTGATTATTTAGTTTGTTATTATTGGGAGCTTGTACAAAATCACGCTATCAACATTCCGAATCATAAAAACAGTATATATAGAACATCTCCGAACTATCACTCGGAGTGTTGGCCGCTCCCCGGGCAAAACACCTTGCCCGGCGGGAGATCTCCGCTTTTCCATC